AAGAATTTTTCTGTTGACATAGTTCTGGATTATCTCAGAAATGAGCTTTTAAAATGAGTAAAACCTAGCTAGTTCTGTCAATGTGGCACGGCAATAGCCCTAAATATGGATGGGGAATGAATCCTCCATTTCATGTTGTTAATGGTCTAATGTATTGCAGAGGAATGAAGCGTTCCAGTTTGAGGTTTACAGACATTTTGCGTCACCCTTTTATTATACCTGATACTCATGTAAATAAAGCCAAACGATGGGTTTTCTTATTTATGTGTGAGTCAACTATGCGTGTTGATGTCACTATATCTATTGTTAAATGCTTAGATAACTAAAGAAGAATGGCCTACTAGTTTCATCGTTCACTAGTTTAGAAATTTATCTGAAGCTGGAATTTATTCATTTTCCTTTTATTTGCCAGAGGTGCTATTAAGTCAAATAAATAAAACTGTGGCAGTAACTAGAAGGTTAGGTAATTAAGCCAAAAAGAACCTTGGCCTTTATTTGGTGATGCTCGAAGATGTTTTATTTAGATCTGTTGACCTCTGAACTAAGAATGTAATTTTGTAGCATTTTGTGTTCAGTTCCCATTGTGAAGACTTTAGACTATGGAATGGGCTGGTTCCTCAGCTCCATCGGGCACATGTGGTCCATCGGGGAATAGTCAACTGATATATCTTTCTGTTTCTTTATTATGTTACGTTGAAGATATTTCCATTTTTCGCATGCTTGTCTATGGAATGCATGTGTATGCATTTTTACATTGCCCATTGCAAAGGAAATATTTTGTGAATTTAAATGCACAACATTTTTATGCTGGACTTACATTTGCACGGTGATGCTTGTAAACATTTCTTATTTTTTCTGATGCACAGGAAATGGCTCTGGGTATTTCCTTTCATTGAAACCTTACCACTTCTTTCCAATTGAATGGAAGGCTCTGGGTTGTGGTCATTTTATGAGAGAGCTGCAACTAATACGTTTTTATTCATCTACTACGTTAGATCTTTGAGTTTTATCCTTTCCCAATATACTTAAATGTTTCTACTTTGAGGATGATCAGTATTGATCTGGCCCTTGAAATGCAGCCAGCTCGTGCACCGTATTGACGTTATCATGAACTGTTATGTTTACGCTAATTTGAGCGCTTTATCTTATGTAATTCTGCCGTACTGGATATGCTTCTTAATGTAAATTGACACTAGCATTCTATAAAACTGAAGAGCCAGTATATTTTTCAGGCATTGAGCAAGAGGTACTGCAGCGTTACTGCCTTATACGTAATTTGGCGTATTGCCTAAGAGAAACTTCAATATTCATATTTCTCTCCCTCCAGTAGTGTTACGAAGAGTTACTACCCGAGAGAAACATGCATGCGTTTCTTTTTTCTTTTTTCTTTTTTCTTTTTAAATTATTCTGTAGAATATTGTGTATTTTCTTCTAATCTCTTCATGTCTCTCCTCTCAATAGGTGTGTGTGTGTGTGTGTGTATATATAACTACATTTATCCTTTCAGTATTCTTACCATCTTATCATTTGTAGATTTGAAATTTTAGAGGAAGAAAAAAAATGGTGCTAAAGGGATGAGCATTTTTTTGTCGTTGATTGTTATGAGACCTGAAATAAGCGTACGGTTTGTTGTAATACACTTTCCCTTTTGCTCTAGAGATAATGTTGCAGCACCTGTATTGATTTTGATATTAATGTCTTCGTTCTTGTTAAATGATTGTCACAGGAATTCTATCAGATTTTGTGCCATAATCTATTCCTTATGTGTAAATATTACATGAAAACAGATTAACTGAATACTGTACCCTGCAGTTTGCTCAGTGTGGACTGTTGTTAATGTTCCTTTATTTCCCTAACTTCAAAGTAAACAAGGTTTGCCCGTACATTAGGTAGCTGATAGATAACACAGGTGGTGGATGAATATAACCTTTTTCCTTTTTGTGCCTGGTTATTTCTTTAGCTGTAAAATTGATATACTCATTCTACTCATCAATCAAGATGACTAGAGGATGCATTAAGAATCTCATATTTATTGAAGCTATAAGACAATTTCAGTGAAAACTGCAATTCAGCTGCCATCCGTTATCTAATGACCACCGTTTAAGATAGCATTGAGGGTAATATCCACAAGACCCGCCATAATTTTCCCACCAAACCTCCTTACATTTCCCATAAAACTCATAACTACGAACACCTTCAAACTAGTGGTAATCTAGGCATCGTAAATGGATTTTCTATCTTCCGTCTAGGATGGCTACCCGAGACGGATAAATTTGTCATAGTTACCCACGAATTCTTCTAATTTTTAGCAACTTCGTCAAGGATGTTTCGTTGCTGAAGAATTCATCTATTTATGATGCTTCACGCTAGATGGACAAATCCGTTCAGAATGTTCTACGTAGGACCCTCAGTTTTCTAGTGCCGGCCTGCAGCCATAATTCCTGTTCACAATTAGTTGCAGACGTAGAAATCTGTGTAATTCTTCTTAAACAGTAAAAATATCTCCTTGCTTGAAAGAGTTTGGATGAAGAAACCGTCTTCCAAAAAGTAACCTAAAGTTTTGTAATTTCTGATGTACGTTAGAAGCAATATTTAGTAGCTAACACATGGGATTCGACATTTCTAAACAAGGGGGGGGGGGGGGGGGGCGGAGGATAGGAACAGATTGGGACCGTCCGATCTTAATCTACGCACAAGGAAAAGAAAAATTTTAAGGGGTTTTGTGGGAAAAGTTCTGGAGGTTCTCTGAGAAAAGTTAGGAGGGTTTCGAAGGGAAAACAAAGTTCAGGGGGCTCGTTTGTGATTTTTTTTCTGTTGATATTTACCCTACACCATTTTTTGTTAGATGGATCATCCATCCTCTTTATCTCATTTGTCCGGATCATGGCCCACCAGCTTTAATGGAGAAGCCAACAACCAAAAATTTAATAAACTCTACCTATTGTCCTAAATCCTAAAGCTTTCAATGATATTGTCACGTCGTATGCATCTTATCTATACATGAATATTATTACCATCTATAAAGCTCAGGGGCTGGTTGTAGCAAATACTTTTACAAATTTATGCAATATAGCTCTAACCTCCTGACTTGTCATTTTCCGAAAAAAGTTGTGTGGAAACAATATCACTTATATTGTTATATTATTAAAGACAGACAAACGAACTTTACATCGATAGCGATGTATGGGCGTAGTGGCAACAGGAAGAAATGCTCATTCTTATCTAGATTGTGATAATATATTTAGACTACGAATCACTGATCAAGATACAAAACCTCGCATCCTCTCCTCTCTCTCTCTCTCTCTCTCTCTCTCTCTGTTTTAGTTCCTAATTAAGGCCTACTACCGTCATATTATTCAAAATTTCCCCTTCCCCTCTGCTCTTTTCTAAGCACAGCCTATATATTCTGCAACATGGTAACAATCTTCATATCACATTTCGACGTCGTCCCAGGATCTCCTCTCTCGGTCTCTCTCATTACAAATAAAAATGGAAACATGGTGCTAATTGTGCCATGATCTCCACGAGAATAACTCGTTCAGAATGCAGAAAATTGACTTTGTATTGGTGGCTGATGAATCATTTGTAGGTCTGTGGTTGTGAGGCCGGTGCTCTCCTCTATGATCATGTTCCTGAAACGAACGTGAAGTTGGAAACTCTACTACTTAATTAGATATATAAATGAGTCAAGAAGTGACTAATAGAAGAGAAGAGTTTCTTGTCGTAATTAATGACCATTTGGTGAGAACTCAAAAGCAGTAGTTGCAAAGATTTATACGATGAGAGAAGCCTTTGATGGATTAAGTATAATGAGATTGGCCTGCATAAGCAATGCAGCGAAAGGGACTAAACTAAAAATAGATGAACAAGAGCATCACTTACATCAAATTTTCCAACAATATCCCTTGATTTGGGCATCTTGACGGGAAAAATACTATGAAAGGCCCTTGTACTTAAAATAGAAAGCAACTGATAAACTGCAAATGAACACCCAACATCAAGGAGGGAGACAACAAAGCCATTCCCATTTTAGGTGGTTTGTTCTGAAGCTGAATAGGGTTGACCCACAAATGATAATTCACTTGATGGCAATGTAGCTTTCTTCCAAAACTATGATGTGTTCATAATTAGGTGGTTGAGGAATTAAAGGAGAGAATTATCCTAAACAATGATATGATCACAATTCATATGATTAATCATCATTTTTAGCTATAATTTTAGAGAAGAACGAATATTTAAAATTGGATGAATTACGGATAGGCCCCCTGTAGTTCTATTGTCCTAGACATACTCCCTGTAGTTCTATTATTGCAGATAAACCCCATTGAATTATTTTTTAAAGACTCTTTTTACCATCAAAGAAAGAGAATATTGTTTTTTGACGAATAGTCTTCCTGAGGGTAAAAGAGTAAAAAAAAATGCACTCATGGGCCAATCCACAATTGGACGACAGTACAGGGGGCCTATCCTATAAAATAGCAAATAACTACGTGTGTATGTAATAAATATGAGGGATACTTACTCGCAAGGGCGAGAGGCCCAGAGGGAGCTTAGGGCACGAAGGCGGTTATAGTACTCCCCAATTGCCAAAAAACACCTTGCTGCTTGTCTAATTGTCAGGATTCGACATAGTTGGTGCAAAGTCTGCTGTCTCAGATTATCAGCCTGTATTTTTATTTGAAAAATAATTGTTTCCGTTACTATGAAAAACTTAAAGAATAATAAAAATTTAAAGTCCTTGTCCTTGGGAAAAAAAGGAAGATAAAAAAAAAGTCTAAGGGAGTGTTTGATAACTTTGTAAAATTAGGACATGACTGAACCTGACTCAATTTTGTGTTGTTTCTTGTTTGTCAAAATTCTAGGCTAGATTTGGCCCCATTTTTTGTGCCCAAATAGTATCACTAAACTAGTTTTGTTTTGGACCAGAGATGTCTGGTCCAAAACGAAACTAGTCCACGGGGTCTGGTCCAAAACAAAACTAGTTTAGCACAAAACTGAGCCAGGACTGGTCCTGGCCCAGTTTTGCTCCGTTTGCCAAACTGACCCTAAGGTAGAGAACAAAGTCTTATGATTAGTAAATATGTGTTGCAATTGAAAGATTTTGTCTGTTCGATTGGAGCTGGACTACTCCAGCAATAATTCACTACAATCAAATCCCCACAAGATATCGCGAGTATAACTTTCACATTCAGTACAGCTTGTAGGGTATGAATTCTGATATTTATGCAAGTAGCAACTATAGGATGCTTAATCAGAGAATATGCACTTAATTAAACTACTATCTTTGGCTAGCAAAAGAAACTGATTGAACCTACGGATTCTTCCACATAGAAAAACTAGGGTGGCTAAAACTTAATACATATCAGAACAATTGGTCGTTATCAAGCATCTAAAAGGCAAGGTTGTTACATCCTTTTCTTGCTATTATTATACGTGGACAGCAACATGTTTAACTTTTTGGGATGCACAAAACTTTTTGAAATATGGAGCCTTATAGATTTTGATTTTGATGGGTGTGCTTGAAATACTGAAGAAGAAACAAAATTTGAGAAAGGGAAAGGTAAATATAATAAGGACACGGAGGACAAAGGAATAATGTTCGTAGGACCCTGTCGTTTCAATTTCATACATTCCTTCTGCACTTATAACCTTTAAACCTGCCAGAAAAGACATAATTGTTTTCACTTAAATAACTCTTTTCATGCATCTTGTATTTGGTTTAAAATGTCATTCTCACACCTGCTTTGTCTAGAAACTATTGACTTGGACACGCACAAGAAATTTTTATGGCTGAATAATAAATTCTTAGATCTATCAAAATTTTAGTATAATCAATGTACTGTCTGTCAATGGCAAAAAAAAAAAAAAAAGGAAGCCTTTTGTCAAAATTTTTTGAAATTGGTACCATATTAAGATTAGAAGTCTGCAAGAAAGGTGAACTTAAGATGAAAACTTGGTCGCTGACCTAAAAAAGTTGACTACTAAATCAATGATGGGTATATCAAAAAGCATGGGGGAAAAAACCAGAGATAATAATTAAGATGATTAAAAAAATTAATTAGCAATGTGACATAATTTCTAACTAAAAAAAATTAATAAAAAACTTTTAATGGAGGACAAAGACCAGGCATTGCCAAATTTAATAAACTTTGAAAATTTTGGGAACTTCTTGTGTTTCTTATAATCAAATTGATAGCAACTCAAGCAAACTGGACCCATCAACACATATCGAAACATCGATATCTATAATCCGACATTGCATCATATTCCAGTACTACTCGACCAGCACTATGACAACAATCCATCATGGGCAATGTAAGGGACCCCTCTAATATTCTCCCCATAATCTAGTTATGATATTAAATTAAACCACACATTAACCTATCATTAGTACTGTAGATAAACTATTTTTACCTGTCGCACGAATCCTTCAAGGTTGGATAGTTGTCCCAGTGCCATTGCCATTGCCATACTTCCCATACAGTTCCCCATATTGGCACTTCCGTCGAGGGACTCGCTTGAAACCGTGTCGGCTATCGCCTGCTGGAGCTGCTCCAGCCCTTGTGAGAGGGCTTCCTCAGCCTGCAGCGATGATTGCTGCAGGCTGCAGATCCCCATCAGCTGTTGATCCGTCATTGGATCCAGATGAGGCTTCAAAATCTGTGCACAAACAAAGCCAATTTTTATAAGAGGAAATCTCACATGATGGTTATTACACCAACAATGCTGTAAGAATGGGAATGTTGGCGGTTACATCTTACTTCAAAAAATGAGTGTAGAACAGAAGGGTTACAGGATGCTCCTCTTGAGGATAAATGGAAAGAAAATCGACTAAGATGGTTTAGACGGAGGCAAAAATTATAGCTATTAGGAGATGTGATAAGATTATAAGGCCATGGAGGACCAGAAGTAGGTCCAACAAAAAAACTTGGTTGAAAGTAATTAAGAAGGATATAAAAGTGCTGAACAAAGTTCAACTGAAGAGCATGATTAATTTAGTTTAAATTTAAATTTCTAGATCTTAGGACCTTGAGCAAATCGGATGGTCTGAAACCGCCCATCCAGATGAAACAGCGTTCAGCAGTAGTAATCCACATTCCAGTTATGAGATGGAATACATCAGATTTAGCTGCGATGCTCTTCAACCGGAAGATTTCATCATAATGTCTGAGGCAATCATCTACAATGACCCTAAGACCTCCATCCGGTAGGTGGGCTTGCAAGCCTGCTCGAAGCTCTGTCATGTGCTTGTAGTCCGCATCTAACCATCGAGCATATTCCACATCAAACATTGCTGCTCCTGTGATATGTGTCCTTTATATTAAAGTCTGGTATATAATAAAAAATATCTATAGTGAAAATTCGGCATCCTTGTTATTACCAGTGCTCATATTTCCACCTGCATTGCCTCTTCCTGTGAAGAGACCCTGAATAAAACCCAGCTTGAGTAAAATTGCAACATGGAAGAAATTAACCTGCAGTTGTTATATGTCAAACCTGTGATCTTGCTCTTTGGAGATCCTGTTCTAACTGTGCAAGCTTTATTCTACTGGATTCTAGTTGTTGTACATAGGCCTGTTGAATGAAAGAAGTGGGTAATTCAAGATATATTCTCGTAGAAAAAGGGAGGAAAAAGGAGAGAATTATCAGGAAACAAAGACCCACCTTCTTTCTAAGTCTGCTCTTCTTTGCTGCTTCTCTGTTTTGAGCTAAGCGCCTCAAGGTCTGCTGATACAGAATCTGACGACTTATTTCATCCGTATTCAGTCTATCCACATCATATCCTAATAATTTTCTCATTTCATTTTTAATTATATGTAATTAAAAGGCATCATCTTCCCTTCTTAACGAGGATAAACCATGATCTTATAAATTAATTATTCTGAAAAAGTCGGCAGACTGGCAGATGTCGTATGATTGTATCAAAGTAGTGATACATGCGTGAGTCATGCCTACATAATTTATGTGCATGACAATCCACTAAAATAGATACATATGCATGTATAATACTGTATATATAGATGCATACTTTACAGCGTCAAGAATTGATTAAGAGAAAGTAGTGATGACCTTGGCATCTAGTGGTTTTCCATCTCTCTGTGAACTTGTATAAGCCATTCTCCTCTGAAATATAAAATGCAAGAAATGGTGGTTAAAATGATATGTGATGAGGAAACGAGAGAAAGAAAGAAAGAGAAACAAAAGGCAGGGATTAGAAAACAAAGGCTGTATCCGATGGGTGAGTTTTAATACTGAGAGCAACTTGTTTTCTTTTTCTTTGTTTTTCTCCCCATTCAATCCTCAAACAATGTTTGTACCCACCACCTTTTCTCTAAAAATAAAATTAAATAATACAGATAGCAAGTTTAACAACATATAGGAAAAAAGTAGCAATATCAAGTAAATTTGTCATCAGATACAGAAACTGTAAGAACCTGGCTTAAGAACATAGCAAGATGAAACTGGTCTCAACGTGTCAGCGTATGTAGGTATGTCTATAAAATTACAGTTAGGAAAAAATGCCCTTCTATTAACAGTGTAATAACATTATTTTCAAAATAAATTTCAAGAAATCCCCCTTACATTTGGGTGTNCCAAAAAAAGGTTCTTAGAAAACCCGCTTCAATTTTAAATGTTTTTCAGAAAACCCCCCTAATGCATTAGTTTGGGAGGTTCTCTAATAAAACTTAAAGGGGTTTGCGACATTTTAAAAGTTAAAGGGGCTTATCACAGAAATGCTTACAATTAAGGGGGCTTCTTGAGAGCCCCTTATGTCGGAAAGAAAGTTAAAAGTAATGTTAGGAGGGTTTTCTGACAAAACATAAGGAGGGTTTCGCTATATTTTCAAAGTTAAGGAGGCTTATCTGAGCGATGCCCAAACTCAATGGTTTTTTTTTCCCGTGTGGAGATTTACCCTTATTTTTTAAATATGAAATGCTTAAGGAATGAAAAGATGAAACTTATATGTATAGTGTTATAGATTGTAACACTACACATGAGGTGAGGAAATTTCCAAAACACCTTCACTACAGTGGACATGTACGGATCAGAACGCCCCGCACACGGGGTATTCTGATAGGATTCCTACTTGATTGTAACAGGCAAATGTACAGAAGTAACAGGGCTCAAGCTGTCTGAAAAGAAGCTAGAAACAGTGGCTAGAATTTGAAGAGTGCAGAGGTGGTAAAAGTGTGGAGAAAACTGTACTTTTGTGGGGATCTGTGTTGACAAAGTACTGTCCCTAGACAGGTAACATTCTGGTCAAAAGACTAGTAACTGAGTTTTTGACATTTGTGACTAAAATGCGATTTAAGTAAAGTATTTAGTGAGTTTAATTCATAGTATTGATGATAAATCAAAGAAATATCAATTATTTATGCACTATTATTAATACTATAGACTGAGTATATATTAACATTTTCATAACTTTTAAGTTAATCTTCAGGTTTTTGTGAAAAAAGTAAATTAAACATCTCAAGAAAAAGCATGCACTGGTTTTAGTAAATTGTATAATGATGTAAAGAAATTTTTATTCTAAGATTACGCAATGCAAAGTAGTTTGAAGTTAGTATATTGATTTTAAAAATCTTATTTTGCATCATTAAATAGATAATTTTACCAACATCTAACACAGTAGCAGTTAGAACCTTGTCTTGGGTCCTGGGCTGATGATTTTGTGCTTGCGCTCCTAACCTTGAGACCTCGCTCGCCATTATTTCCTTAGGCTCAAAGCTCTGCTCTGATGG